TTCCAAATCATTTGTATTGTTTGGCCTTTGTCCTTTCTTGTGACCACGTCGGCGTAAACATGTAAACATGCGTGAAACAGACTCAATACATCGACGTTGGCGGGTGCCATTACATCCACATGACATTGCTGTACACGACAGTCGAGTTCAATGGTTTTCTCAAGACATCCTATAGGGTCGACTGCATTTCAGGATATCAGATGGATGGTATCTGTTCATGCAAAGGATTGAATGATTTCCAGAATTCAAATGTTGTAAGACACAATTGAAAATATTTCTCTTGATGCCTGATTAATGATGGATGATTCGTGTCGATAATTTCTGTTGTATCTCTCCCAAATACATCAGTCGAATAAAAGGTACAGTCAATGCCAAAGATGGCGTTTTTAGTATGACATGACTGGACTTCCAACGGCCTTGAACAGTATGTTTTAGCTGTACAACTAGACCTGAATTCAGTATCATGCCGTTATCTAAATTGGACAAATGTTGCAATTGTTTTCGCCACATGAAGAAATACCGTACGGAAGTAAGTTTGAAAGAAAAATATCCTTCAACGTTATTGAATAATTTTTGGTGATGTCATGATAGCTGGAAGGGCAACACAAGGAATGCAATATACACCATATGTTGCAGTAGTCCCGTCTTCACAATAGCGGAAGCAATACAGTTTCTTTCTGGTACTAAGGTCAAGGTCAACGTCTTTCTATCTAGGAGTCAATGTACTTTCGGGTTTACTGTTTCTCACTCATTTAAACAAAGTGTCATCACTAACCAAAAGTTCTCTCAAAAGGAAGTCATTACTCACACGGTCACGCCATTTCACTGACAGAGGGCAATTTGAAGCCGGATCAATAGCGTCAAGTAATGGCTGCCATTCCTGTCACCAGCAGTGACGAGAAGTGTCCAGTTAATGTCATACGAAGTTAAACGTGAAGACCATTGGCTTATTATCCCTGGTCGAACATGTGTCACAATCAAACATGGAACATCCTTATACACAGAAACCTCCAGGGCAATCACACCAATCATGGGTCGCCAAGCGGTGGCGAAATGTTGATCAGTGTGCCATATTCCAGCTAAATCACGACAGCTTGAGGATTAGCGAACAGAGTGGCTTATAACATGATCAACGATCCGTGCCGAGCGGGTACGATGTTATAATATCTGCCAGCTCCGAAATTGTGACCACCCAATCAACATTGTAGTCGGTTCTCACAATAAGAATGGGTGCTGCCTGCTTACTTTGCTGTCCCTGAATCTCCACAATGTACTAAGGACCTTTACTGTCCTTAAATCTCCACGGGAAGACAACACGGGGTGCTGGTGGCTGGTGTCCCGGAATCCCCACGACGTGCAAGGGATCGTTGTTGTCCCGGAATCTTCACGACGTACAAAGGATCGTTGCTGTCCCCGAATCCCCACGACGTACAAGGGATCGTTGCTGTCCCCGAATCCCCACGACGTACAAGGGATCGTTGTTGTCCCAGAATCCCCTCGACGTACAAGGGATCGTTGCTGTCCGGGAATCCCCACGATGTACAAGGGATCGTTGTTGTCCCGGAATTCCCACGACGTACAAGGGATCGTTGTTGTCCCTGAATCCCCACGATGTACAAGGGATCGTTGTTGTCCCTGAATCCCCACGATGTACAAGGGATCGTTGTTGTCCCTGAATCCCCATGAGGTACAAGGGATCGTTGTCGTTCCTGAATCCCCATGAAGTACAAGGGATCGTTGTTGTCCCTGAATCCCAGCGACGTACAATGGATCGTTGTTGTCCGGGAATCCCCACGACGTACAAGGGATCGTTGTTGTCCCTGAATCCCCACGACGTACAAGGGATCGTTGTTGTCCCTGAATCCCCACGACGTACAAGGGATCGTTGTTGTCCCCGAATCCCCACGACGTACAAGGGATCGTTGTCGTTCCTGAATCCCCATGAGGTACAAGTGATCGTTGTTGTCCCCGAATCCCCATGACGTACAAGGGATCGTCGCTGTATCCCCACGACGCACAAGGGATCGTTGCTGTCCCGGAATCCCCGCGACGTACAAGGGATCGTCGCTGTATCCCCACGACGTACAAGGGATCGTTGCTGTCCGGGAATCCCCACGACGTACAAGGGATCGTCGCTGTATCCCCACGACGTACAAGGGATCGTTGCTGTCCCCGAATCCCCACGACGTACAAGGGATCGTCGCTGTATCCCCACGACGTACAAGGGATCGTTGCTGTCCCCGAATCCCCACGACGTACAAGGGATCGTTGTTGTCCCTGAATCCCCACGACGTACAAGGGATCGTTGTTGTCCCAGAATTCCAACGACGTACAAGGGATCGTTGCTGTCCCTAAATCCCCACGACGTACAAGGGATCGTCGCTGTATCCCCACGACGTACAAGGGATCGTTGCTGTCCCTAAATCCCCACGACGTACAAGGGATCGTTGCTGTCCCGGAATCCCCACGACGTACAAGGGATCGTTGTTGTCCCTGAATCCCCACGACGTACAAGGGATCGTTGCTGTCCCTGAATCCCCACGACGTACAAGGGATCGTTGCTGTCCCTGAATCCCCACGGGGTTTTGGGGCGTACTCTGCGCAAAAATTCAAACGGGAAAAAGACAGGAAAAAGGTGCTGGCTCCCTATGTTTCCCAGGAATCCTCGCGGGGAAACAGGCATGAAATGAATGTGGTTCACGCTGCCCTTAAATCCCCTTGACCATAGGGCGCTGGTGATCTATGCTGTCTCTGAACCCCTTGAGCCAATGGCGCTGGTGATCTATGCTGTCCCCGACTCTCCTTGAACATAGGATGCTAGTGACATATGCTGTCTCTAACCTCTATGGGCTCACGGAGCTACAGAATATGTCTATCAAATGCTAAATTCACATAACACTTCGTCTTCAGCTTTCCATATTAATGTTTGAATGTCAGCATGTCTGCCAAATCTATTGCTATTTCCCAGAGGTAGGCCACGTATAAAGGTCAGCGTCTAACCAAAAGGATATGTTGTAAAATGTGACTAATTACAGACCAAGTGAACGCCTTGCTCTCTCTGCTAATAATGGTTACAGATTTTAATTTTAACTATTGATGAACGATTTTCCTCCCTTTTTAAAGCTATCAGTAATCCCTATTAGGCAGTTCAGACGGCAAGGCGCCAAGTGAGATTGAAAATAATTGTAGATTTTAATTGAAAAAATACTTCATTATCAATTCATGTAGTTGTATTTTCCCCTGTAGTTATCCAAATTTCAATTACTATCGATGTCTTTTTTAGGGCGGGTGTGAAGCATTTGTTTTACTCTTGTACATGAAATCTTGCAGGAAACTGAGAAAGGTATTTCCATGTGAGGTAAATATTACAAAGATTCCTTACATTAGCAGTCTCCCTCAAGGATTACGAGTTGCTGTTGCCGAGTTACATATATTTGGACTGGTGGTCAGGCTTCATGACGCTGTGGATCGTTGTTCATAATATCAGTCACTAGTTTATCTGATTCGGACACGAATATTTAGATGTCGCCATCATATACTAGTAGCTGGAATATTGCTTAGTGTGGACTATCGTGGTTTCATTGCGTTGTTATACACGCCTGCCGTAGTCGATGGGTTTTTTTCTTTCAAGGGCTATGTTTGACCCGGAACCGACCAGAAGCGTTTCAGTAATGACTCTAGTACAGTTACAATTTTGGAGTTTCGAACGTGAAGCACAAAAAAGTGTCAACGATTGTTATCACTACGTCTTGCTTAATGACCTTGTTGAAACCCTTTAAGTAGTCCATGTTTGAGAGTCAGCTAAACTTAGTTTGTTAGTTGAGTTGAAATGGGGCTTAACGTGTGTGTCTGCTTGTACTAGTCCGGACTTTTGCTGATTTTATAGTGCTAGCCCACTGAGATACCATGCCCTCATTTTAACATGAATACCCCACTCAAACACAGTATGCTGACTCCGAGACGGCCTGTCCTTAATGCCGAGCGCCAGACAGGTTAACAACAAGTCCCATCTTTTAACGTCTTTTGGTATGACGCGGCCGGGGTCGAACCCCGGACCTTCCGCTCTTCGGGCGGACGCTCTACCATTAGACCACGTTCGGCTAAACAGAGAATCTGATGGGTGCAACGTTTGAATGGCTGATGGTGTTGTTGTCATTGCCACGGCGTGGTTCGTTGCTAGCGTTATCAACCACTGGTTACCTGGTCCCGTTCCTCCATTGTAGAGATGACTTCATACAACTATATAATGCTCTAAAATGACTACGTAAAATATAATCTACTCACTGACTTTAATAATCAAACCACGAGCAAGACTTAGTGCTCACCCAATGACCATGAGACTGGATCTGTGTTGCAGCTTTGTTGAGAGTTGAAGTTGACTTCTCTCAGTTATACTCATCTTCCCGAGGCAAGGAAGTTAACTGACTGCAAAAGTCCAGTTTTCACCCTTGTCGAGCTAGGCTTGAATTTCTGGGTTCGATCGTAGCGCCAGCTGTGGCTATTACGAGTTATGTCCCTTCTATGTCCCTCCTATTGACCAATCAGATTCCACCACTCACCTCACTTGCATTTGCTTCATTCAAATGGCAGTGAAGGTGATCTGATCGATAATCAAGATCATTATTGTAACAAAACGGTTCTTACTTCGCGAAGTGCATCAAATCGCATGAGGACCTATATTAAAAACATGAAAAGATTTGGAAAATATCTGTTGACGCTAAGTTTACGGTGCATATGTTTCGCAACTCGGCACAGCAGTTTACGAACCGGACGTTGATTTTGATTGGACAATGCATAGACTCGCTAGTCCAGCCAACATATCTCCAAAATTCCAGCCTAGTTCGGCAAGGATGGAAACTGATCTTTTATAGTTAGTTAACTCCCTTGCCTCGGGAATATGAGTATTGATAGAATACATGTTTATCGCTTAAACAGATGGCTCTACTCGATGATTATAAATCCCTTAAATGTCGCTGAGTAGTATGTGGTTTTTCTCTTACCTCTCTGGCCAGGTTTGTATATAGGTTTATCCGTCTGAACCAGGGTGATGAAATTCTCTGTCTTCACCTCAACCTCTGTCGTTCCTGTCGCCTCGATGGTGGATGTGTCGTTACGGAGAACAACGTCATATTCACCCGTCTGGGTAGGAACCTTGAACTTCAGACACTGACTATAAGCTGAAAAAGAGATTGTGACGATGTGTTCAATCAAAACTGGCAAAGGAAACTGACCTCCTATGAGTGAGTGAGTATGGTGTAACGCCGCTTTTAGCAATATTTCAGCAACACCGTGGCGAGGACATGAGAAATAGGCTTCACACATTGTACCCAATTGGGAAATCGAACCCAGGCCTCGACGCAAAGAGCATGTCCTGAATAATATGCACAATCACTCAGTCATGTGCATTACATGGCAACATGTCTAACCATTGATGATTTACTTAAAAGGTTTGGCGTGTCACGTCGTAAATAAAATATTTGTTGTGGAGCTATAGCTTCTCACCGAAGGCTCCCGAAAATGATTTGAATTTAAAGAATAAGAACAGAGAATATTTCTATACGAATTCAATGAAAAAAGAAAAATTACCCAAAGAGATTCATTAAAAGGTGGAAGCAAACACGATAGAATTCCAAATGAGCTCACTAATGATTACATTCCAACTCAACTACTGACATTGTGATATTTTACTGCATGATTGCATTATGACACAATATTGATCGTTGGATTCTCTCAGTAATCGCCCTGGGAAAATGTCATCTTGGTAAACACCGCCCCAACAATGCTGAAGCCATTCCAACAAGAAAATGTACTCACATTCTGAGATCTCATATTCAAAGTCATGTTCTTCTTGTGTTTCCTTGTGTGTCAGGCGCAGCGTGAAGGCAAAGGCGGGGTCATCAACGTCGTGCAACGTCACACAAAACGTCTCCTCTCCCCCAGCCCTCAGTGTACGTGGTAACGTCAGGATGTAGCCCCTGGGGGAACGAAAGGGTTAATCACTACTTGCACTAAATAATGGGATGAACAGGAATGCTTTATAGGTAGCAGATAGTTGACTTCAGTCTTTTTCTGCATTGCTAAAAATATTTTTTTTCTTTTATAAATGATTATCGTGCTACGACCCAACGTCATTTATCTGAATATTAGAATTGCACTACAAAGCATCACGTTAACTCACAATATGAATTATACTGTACAATACAATATCACGAGACGTGAACATCAAATACATGAGTTGGGGTTTATTAAACGCTGCAGAATGGGAATTGCAGGATAGCATTGTATTATCCTACTGTGAATTGCAATGCGTCGTGATGGGCTCGCAATACGATGACACATTTCTCGAAAGTTAACTGCAGAAATATTTCTGGAATGTGTAACAATACATGATTTCTCATACTGAGAATGTCATGTGACCTAGACGGTGGGCATATGAGCTGACAATGCCACTGGACAATGTTGAATCTCATGACCATTAATTATTTGCTATGCGTTCTGCTATATCAAAAATAGATTAAATTCAAAGTGTGATAACAATTTGGTTTGTAGTCTCCTTATGTTGAGACACAGGAAATCCAGTAGTCTTATGGATTTAATATTCTGTGAGGAGTTGCGACGCTTAGACAGGTCAGGATCCGTTGTTCGTTGATTTGAACCCGAGATTTGCCCGAAAAAGATTATTGGTTTGTAAGTTCCATATCCGTGTCTCGTGTTTTCAACTTTGTAAACGTCTACAGCAACACTTTTGTGTTAACCTTTTCTTACTTAAAATATGTGGGTGAGTTGGGTGTAACGCCGCTTTGATCAGGATTTCAGTTATAGCTTGGCGTGTCAGATTGATGTTGAAAGAAAGCTCAAAGTGATGCAGGTCTTAGACGTTTACCATTTTGGTTAAATCCACAAGCATGGACATGATGCTGACAAACCAAGAAACACATTCAGGGTGTACCGTGATTCGAATCCATGATGACAGGATTCGATTCTGGCACGCCTGAGGAACGCGATGGGACAACTGTGCCCCCTTTCGCTGTAGAAAATGGTTTCTGGTACGACACACCTACATGTAATTGTAGTGATCGAGGAAGTCACAAAAGCATGGGAGAATCCACAACAGATCATCACATCGAGATAATTACAATACTGTTCAAATCATGTAAAGAAGATACAGTCAGTCACACCTTCAGATGGTTGATACATCAAACAGCCATATCGGGGATGTTTGTTGCATCATCGGAGAACTGTGTTCACTCACACCACCAACAGATCAAAGTAACCTTCAACCATGCCTCTTTAGTTTTACTGGATCATAAATGTTTTTTTACAGATTCTTTTCTGTTCTCTTTATGAACTGTTTTGTTCTCGAAACCATTCCAGAGTTCAGACAACAGTTTTCTTTGTGGTTTCTTGTAGATACATTAATTAACCCGAAAGCGTTTCACACCTAAAGAAATTACAGTTTGCATTGTCAAACAAAACACTCTTAAACATAAATTTTTGGGCTAAATCCACACGGAATTGGCGGCAGCTAGAAAAACATGACATGAAGGATGAAACCTGTATCAACACAAGCTACAAGAGTAAATATTGTTAAACGTTTTAACGCGAAGATGAAGTTTAGAGAAGCAAGGTTGACGCCGCGAAAGCTTCTTCTGATGGCCATGTGTTGTGAGGAGCGATGACTACGCCGTATACACACTGCCACGATCGATACATGAACACTCAGACCAAAGACAGATAAATGTCAACCATTTAGCGGCTAATTTTCATGTGATATCCTCATGTTATTAGGTGTGCTATGGTTGGTCTTGACACGATTATAATGTCATGAGAAAAGTGTGACAATCCTGTGGGAATGCATGGCGCAGGCCGTGAATCAATGGAGGACATGTCCAAAGTACATGTAGTAGAGGAACACAGAACATTGCTGAATTTCAAACACGCTACAGTCTTTATATTTATTGTTTTGTTTGATTTGTTTGTCGCTTAATGCCGTATTCAACAATATTACAGCTATATGACGGTGGTCTGTAAATAATCGAGTCTGGACCAGACGATCCAGTGATTGATATCATGAGCATTGATCCATGCAATTTGGATACGGTGACATGCATCAACCAAGTCAGCTCTCCTGACCAACTGTGGTTTGCTGAAGACCTATTCAAACCCGTACTTCACGGGTCTTATTTTATTTATTGATATACACAAAGCATCATAAGGTCTCGATATTTCAGTGTAACATGCATCATCCAAACTCACTAATTCCTGTTTGAGACGAAGTGACTGCTGACGCTGGGACATTGATGCCCACCCTACGCATATCAGTGAAAGTTGACGGCTCATTTTAAAATGAGGAAGGAATGTGTCTGTTGGATTCTAACAATATATTCGGTTTTATTACGTCGTATCCGCTGAAAGAAAGCCATTGAGCGAAAACCAAAGACTGGAAGACCTAATATAACACATGACACAACACGTCACAGTGATATTTCCTTTCTGTATTCGACACCTGTGTTATATAATCTACTTGTCAGGGGCGGTCGGGTAGCCTAGTGGTTAAAGCGTTCGCTCGTCACGCCGAAGACCCGGGTTCGATTCCCGACATGGGTACAATGTGTGAAGCCCACTTTCAGGCGGTCCTGAGAATTTTTTAGAAAACTTTTTGGTCACTACTTCAAGACTTTATATCTGAAAGGGTGATACGAACTATTTTATTACATTCCCATCCGTCCCTTTAACAAGAAGCTTTACGCAAACCCATGGATCATCTGATTTTCACTGCTCCATGCATATTTCCACCGCTAGTTCGCCTTGTACACTCATAGGAATCTGTTTCGGAGGATAGTCGAGACTGGTTATTCTCTGGCGTTGGCGTTTTATATTTACATGACATTTTTGTGAAAACCTGAGGCAAATTTAGTTCATTCCAATATTTTCTGGAACGATTATTTTAATAAAACTAATGAAAATCACATGGGCGGACATGATAGCCGTGCTGAATGAGATCATTTGGAAATACATTCAAATGCAGCAAGTCTACAGCTCCGACCAAAACCAGTGTAGTCAGCCTGGACAGGTACCATAATCCCTGCAAACTAGGGACATGATCTCCAACACAGTGGGGGGTATGTACTCGGGCAGAGACGTACTTCCAGCATTACATAACGTGCTCATCTCCTCCGCTGTCAGCCCAGCATGGACGCTTATTGTCTGTGCTGAAGTCGAAGCACGCATATGAGCGCCAACGATCATGCTAATTGATAAATACCTTGAAAGCTTTGCTCTCACTACGTTATTATGTCAGATTCGTAATGGGCGATTGTGTTTCGTTCATCGACTGATCCTACTTTTTGTACGACCCCAGGTAATTATATACTGACCTGTCTGCCCGAGGCTACTGTGAAGCTCCTGTGAAAACAGTCCGGCTATTAAAGAATATCTCATGAACTGGAGCAGCAAGCATCTCGAAATTGAATAAGACAGACAGAGCTATGAATAATTAACAAACCCTTCCAGACAAAGACTTTTGCTGGAGAATGAGCATGTCCATTTAGACATGTGAAAAACACTTTATCCCGTACCTAAGTACATGAGTCGTAACCATAGCACTATCTTGTCCAAGGTTACACAACTGCGTGATGAACTGCGGTATCACAGTGATGTTTGGTGTTGAAATGTCATTGTACATTCCGCATAGCCAATGCAGACACATATCTCTATTGCTATAAAACGTAATTATTTGGTTGAAATATCGACTGTACTTTTCAGGTTTCGTTTTGTGCAGAGACAAAAATATATGTGTTGATTGAATGTGATGTTTAGTGTGCAGGATTGTGAAGAGGTATCACCTGCCTACTCGATATGTCAGCTATCTTTGATTCATGTGAGTGAGTATGGTTTTACGGCGCTTTCAGTAATATTCCATCAATATCACGGCGGGGCATACCATAAATGGACTCAACATATAAAACCAATGTGGGGATTCGAACCGGGCCTTCGGTGTGACGAGCAAACGCTTTTACCACAGGGCTACCCCCGATTCATGAAATACCCCGCACATACAAAGCATAAACTAACAAGGACCTGAACATTATAACGTCAAAACTGACATGGCGTTGACGCAGTAGGTGGCCTCGTCCCCAGCTACAGCCTTCCTGTACAAGTACAAGGTCATATCAAGGTCATATCAAGGTCATATCAAGGGTAGAAGAAGTAAAGGAAGGAGGAAAGAAGAAGGCGAAGCGGAAATTTAGTAAAAGATAAGCGAGTGGTCGGAGATGTTATACAGATGTCATCCTAACCATCTAAATATGGATTTAATGGACGATCTGTCATGAGATGCGTTTTACGTTGTCGGTAGGACATGGTGACAGCGTTACAAACACCAGGTATCACCGTTAGAAGTAACTGAATACCTGGTGACGTAGGATACACTCGATGAGTGAGTGAGTGAGTGCCAAGCACTGCTACAGCTGTAACACGGCTGTCTGAAAAAAAAACCGAGACTGAGCCCTGAAATCCGGTGGTTGATAGCATGAGTAAAGACAGGTGCCGTCGGGGACTATGACACAATATCCGCCAGAACACGCACTGTCACCAAAAGAACCTCTTTCAAAGTTGGATTCCTTTTTTCCTTTTGCGCCAATTAAAACCATTATGATCACGTCAGGCTATTTGATTCTGAACCAGGCATTCATAGGCTATTCGACCGCCTCCGTGGTCTAGTGGTAGAGCGTCCGCCCGGAGAGCGGAAGGTCCGGGGTTCGATCCCCGGCCGTGTCATGCCAAAAGACGTTAAAAGATGGTACTTGTTGTTACCCTGTCTGGCGCTCGGAATTAAGGGGCTAAAACAAGGACTGGTTGGCTCGGAGTCAGTATACTGTGTCTGAGTGGGGTATTCATGTTAAACTGCGGCATGGTATCTCAGTGAGCTAGTACTATAAATCGGCATCAGTCCGGACTAGTACAAGCAGCCACA